ACACACACACACACACACACACAAGCAGATGGAGAGCCGGGGGCTACAGGGAGATACATGAGAGGGAGGGAGAGATAGAAAGGAAGAGAGAGAAAGAGAGAAGGAGAAACACAGAGAGAGACAGAGAGAGACAGAGAGACAGAGAGGAACAGAGAGAGAGAGGGGAGGGTACAGGATGAGGGAGAAACAGGGAAGGGATGGAGAGAAGAAAGGAGCTAGAGAGAGAGAGAGAGAGAGAGAGAGAGAGAGAGAGAGAGAGAGAGAGAAAGAGAGAGAGAGTGAGAGAGAGAGCGAGCGAGAGAGAGAGAGAGCGAAAGAGAGAGAGCGAGAGAGAGAGAGAGGGGGAGAGAGAGAGGTTCTGATGTATTTCCTGGGCTTAACCTGTCATCAGCCTCTACCTGTTCTCACATAGATCTAGTCAGGTAAAACAAACAGGACTGGCATATAATCCAAATAAGCGAGGTGACGAATAATTATAGCATGCGAGATCATGAACGAGACTGGTCTGGGCGCAAGCAGAAATGCTGTTATTCACACTCAGACGCGAATAGGCGAGTGCGTGCACGCATGGACATTTATACTCCTAGGTATGTAGATAAAGAGAGAGGGGGAAAGGAGGGGAGGGGGTAGACAGAAAGAAAGAGAGGTGAATGGAATAGGCCGGGTTGAGAAAAGAGGAAAATAGGACAGAGTGATAGAAAGACAGCAGAGAGGAAGTCGGAGGGTGTTGAGATAGAGGAAGGAGAAAGAAAACGAGAAATAAAGGAACAGACAGACAGACAGACAGACAGACAGACAGACAGACAGACAGACAGACAGACAGTGCGGTGGAGGTAGGGTTTGAAACTACTCAAAAGAAGTAGTAAAAATTAAATAACGAAGAGTTCTCCCTGCAAGGACTGGGTCTTGATCTGCAGGCAGAAACAACGACGACATTAAAGATGATGATGATGATGATTGTGACAACGATGATTTTTCCCCTTTAGTCTAGTTTTAGTAGGAGTTTTACGGCACTTAAAAAACAAATAAAATAGATCTGATATCCTCAGTGACAAAGATTAAAGGTGATACTAGAGAGTAACAAGTTCGAAAAAGAAGTAGGAGAAATAAGGAGATGTTTGATAGGAAAGAAAGAGTAAACCACCCCAGAGCACCCGCCAACCACCCACCAAAAGATGTTTGAAAGGAAAGAAAGAGTAAACCATACCAGGGCACCCGTCAACCACCCACCAAAGACGATAAAAATGAAGAAGAGGGAAATGTGCAGAAGAGAAAACAGCATTTTATTCATTTATTGAAACAAATTGTAAAAGCTTGGAGCAACGTATAATTACAGTCGACCCCGCTTGTGTTGAACTCGTTTGAGTTGATCTTCAATTAAGTCAGGTCATATTAGCGTCGAATGTTAGAGTTAGAGATACGACAACTAACCATGCTACCCCAAGTGGGGGCAAACTTGGTTTTTAAAAATGAACAAATGTACAAGAAAATAGAAATATACTTGTCGTTAATCGTTTTGAAAGCTATTGTTAAACTACTTCCTCTCCACACATCTGATCTGGTATGGTTCCGGTGGCATTGTGATCCCGAACACGCCCTTGATCGGAGGCAAGTTGGACGGGTCGGCGGGCAGGAACTCAAAACGCTGGAACATTGTGGACAGGTACAGGAAAAGCTCCATCTGGGCTAGGGCTTCTCCTAGACACACTCTCCGGCCTGGGAGGGGGGGGGGGGAACGAGAAGATAGAAAAGCGATCCATTGCAGGACAAAGTCAGCACGGTGTAGATCAGTTAGAAGACGGGGTTTACCCTGCCAACCCGGGCAAAACATCCCAGTAGAAAGACCGAGATACTCAAAAGAAATAATGTGTCTTCATTCAGGAATCGAACTCGGGTCTCCTAGCCGCATACTTTACATCTACCACAGTCTTTAAAAAAATTAATTAAACGGCACCAGCTTCCACTCTGTATGTATAGTTATCTTGATTGTTAGTCCTTCTTAACCAATGTACCTTACTCCTTTGAAGGTAAGGTAGATCAGTAAGTGGTAAATGTTAAGAACACATTATTGTTATTCGAACAATTCGATATGAACAAAACCTTGTCGCCTGCGACTTACATTGCACAAAATAATATCCTTAAATTACCTTAGTTGAAAGCTGGCATTTGTCAAGACATAGGCGTATTGATTTTTTTTCAGCAATATTCACGGCCATCAAAGTTGAGGTGTAAAACATTCAAGCTCTTTTACACCAACAAAGCTCTATTTTCTACACAACATAATATCTTAAACTGCCATTTACCGAAACTGAAGTCTATACATTACCCAATGAAAATGGGATCAGCTGTTCTTTCTTCACAATGTTCCCTTGGGAGTCCAAAAATCTCTCTGGCCGGAAGTTCTGAGGATCTCCCCAGACTTTTTCATCCATGAGGGCAGAGTACAGATTGGGCACTACGGTGGCGCCTTTGGGAATGGCGTAACCTCTGAGTTCAGTGTCCTCTGTGACCATGTGGGTCAGGCTGGAAAGGGGGGGGGGGAGAAAATGTTCGTGCCAATGAAGGAGAAAAAGAACAAGAGGGCAAGGGAAAACAACACATTGGGCGGGTAACTCAACTGGTACATAGAATTAGATAACTATTAGGCTGTTTTTAAATTGTGACTAATCCTTTCTTTGTCATGCATTGTTAAAGTTCATATTTCAACATGGATTGGCAAGCCAGTTCTGTCGGAGATTGGCGCTTGTCGAGAGGGAAACATTCTCACGGAACTCACATTGTGTTGAAGTTGAAAGGGACGTAAGACCTCCATGACAACAGTGATATGATACGAGCCCCAAAATAATCAAAAATATGCCAGCTACTTTGACGCGCTCAATTGAACTTGTGCAGTTGCAAGAGCCGTAAAACACCCCCCCCACCCCCCTTTCCCAAAAAGAAGATTCTTTGAGCTCACCTTAAGGGTACGATGTTGGCTCTTCTAAGAGTTTCATAGATGACGGCTTGCAAGTACTTCAGTTTGGGTTTATCCTGAACGGTCGGTGCTCGGTTTGTTCCGACGTGTTCACAGATTTCTTGGTAAATCTGGCGTGTTAGAAAATCGTGCATGAATTTACATTGAAAAAACAAAACAATGAAAAACAACAACGAACCCCCCCCCCCCAACAAACAAACAAACAATCAAACAAAATAACAAACAAACAAGCAAAACAACAGGTGATATTCGGTGTCAGCCATCTTTTCTTTTTTTCCCCCCTGCGTTTGTAAAGGCTTCAGCTATCGCACAGTTCCATTTTTGTTATTACATTTTCTCATTCCATTCCAC